GTGCACTGAGTTGCCCTCTGTGGTGCTTCTCCTGCCCCTGCTGGGGCATGTTCAGGAGCCCAGAGGTGCCCCATCTCCTGCCCCGTGGGGCAGCTCCTGGCCCCGAGCTGGGGAAAGCCTGCCCAGGGCTGAGCTCTGCCCCTGATGGCCTGGCTCCTTCTGTCCCTGCAGTGAAGGTGACCCTGGATCCACGCACGGCTCATCCCCGGCTTGTGGTGTCTCAGGACAACAGGAGAGTGAGACAGCAAAGAAAAAGGCAGATGGTTCCTGATACAGAGGAGCGATTTGACTCTTGGTGCTGTGTGCTGGGCTGTGAAGAGTTGGGAGAGGGGAGGCACTGGTGGGAGATTGAGGTGGAGGGGGAGCTTAAAAGTGATTCACAGTGGGCTTTAGGTATAGCAAGAAAATCTGTGCAGAGGAAGGGAAAGACCAAAGGAGGTATCTGGGCAGTACGGTACAATGATGGAAACCTCATTCCTCTCACGTTTCCTACTATCCCCTTGTTCCTGTCCCCTGTTGCCATGAGGATCTGGGTCTGTCTGGACTTTACCCAGGGGCAAGTGTCTTTTATCAATGCTGACAATGGGGTCGAGATCTACACTTTCACAGCAGCCTCCTTCAATGGGGAGAGCATCCGCCCCTGGTTCTGGCTGGGATCAAGCAGCATCCAGCTGTGCCTGAGGAACAGCACCCTGTAGACCCTGTCCCCAGCTCTGGGGGGCCACTGCCAGCCACTCCTGCCTCCAGCCACTCCTGTCTGATGTCTCCTTGGTCCTATGTGAGCAGTGCAGGAATGAGGGGCAATGGGACCAGGAACTGCCCCGTGTTCCTCCCTACTTCTGAAGGATGTCTGGAATGCTGCAAGCAGGAGCCAGGACCTTGCAGACCACAGGAACTGCCCTACACACAGCTCCTGTGCTGGGGCACAAGCCCTGCTGGCACCCACGGCTCTCACCCTGCCCCTGAGCCCCGGCGGGCAGCACAGGGGCTGCAGCAGCTCTCCACGCTCCTCTCCCCTCTGCTTGCACTGCTTGCAGATCCCAGGGCAAGGGATGTGGTCACCATGTGCTGCTTGCCATTGCAGGCCACCTTTTCCTCCTAGGTTGGTGTTGATCCTTGCTCTGTGCCTGGTGCTGAGCATGAGCAGCCTGAGGGGGATCTTTGTTCCCTCCTCTGGAGCACATCAAGGCGCAGAAGCAGCAGGACTGTGTCAAATAAAGTTTTGTACAGGAAGATGGAGTCTGGCAGTGGCATTTGCTGGGTGCTTTCTGTCCTGAGGCTTTGCTGCCTGGGAAGGCGTCTTGCAGCAGACTGTCTCCATAGTGTTGGTCTTGTTAGTCAAAGCTAGGAGGAATTACAGAATCACAGAATTTCTAGGTTGGAAGAGACCTCTAGATCATCGAGTCCAACCTCTGACCTAACACTAAAAAGTCCTCCACTAAACCATATCCCTAAGCTCTACATCTAAACGTCTCTTAAAGACCTCCACAGATGGTGACTCAACCACTTCCCTGGGCAACCCGTTCCAATGCCTAAACACTCTTTCTGAGAACAAATTTCTCCACATTTCCAGCCTGAACCTCCCCTGGCACAACTTGAGGCCATTCCCTCTTGTTCTATTGCTAGTTATCTGCCCCCAGCTCCCACAGCTTCCTTTCAGGTAGTTGTAGAGAGCCATAAGGTCTCCTCTGAGCTGTCTCCGGACTAAAAGACCCCAGTTCCCTCAGGCGCCCCTTGTTGGAATTGTGTTCCAGGCCCTTCACCAGTTTTGTAGCCCTTCTCTGGACACAGTGCAGGGCCTTGATGCTCTTCTTGTAGTGAGGGGTCCAAAATTGAACACAGTTCTCCGGGTGCAGCCTCTTCAGGGCAATGTAGAGGGGGACAATCACCTCTCTGGTCCTACTGCCCATGCTATGTCTGATAGGCCAGGATGTCGTTGGCCTTCTTGGCCACTTGGGCACACTCCTGGTTCATGTTCAGGTGGGCGTTGAGCAAAACCCCTAGATACATTTCATCTTTACCGCTTTCCAGCCAATTTCATAACATCATAGAATCATAGAATATCCCAAGATGGAAGGGACCCATAAGGATCATCAAGTCCAACTCCTGGCACCGCACAGGTCTGCCCAGAAGTTTAGACCATGTGACTAAGTGCACAGTCCAATTGCTTCTTAAATTCAGGCAGGATTGGTGCAGTGACTGATCCCTGAGGAGCCTGTTCCAGTATGCAACCACCCCCTTCGTGAAGAACCTCTTCCTGATGTCCAGCCTAAACTTCCCCTGCTTAACCCCATTCCCATGGGTCCTATCACTGGTGTTTACAGAGAACAGGTCACCTGCCTCTCCAAGACCAGGATGGCAGTGTGTTTCCCCAAGCCTTCCGTTTGAGTAGCTACATCAGTGACTGCGGCTGGAGAGGCTGCGAGAGTTGCAGAAACCATGGTTTTCTGCCTGATTGATACCATGGCCAGGCATTTTGCAAGCAGGTTACAAGTACTGATGGGAAAGACCGCTGCAAAAGAGCAGTAAGAGCGCCCCACCTGCTCACCCTGCCTGCACGACCTGCCACACCATGCCCTTCTGACGTGGTACACACTCTTTGCCCGTCCTGTTCACTGCGCACCCCAGGGGCTGCTGTCAAACGGCCGGGTAAGGGGCGCTACTGGCTCTGCCTATGCCTCATCAGCCTCCCTTGCGAGGGCAGCTGCGTCCAGTTGGCAGCTCCATGCCGTTCCCTCAGGCCCTGTCACTGGCCCCAGAGAGCAGAGACTGGAGCTTGCCCCTCCACTGCCCTCATTAGGAAGTTGAGGGCTGCCACGAGGCCTCCCCTGCGTCTCCTGTGCTCTGGGCTCAACAAGCCAAGCGCCTTCAGCCGCTCCTCACACGCCTTGCCCTGCAGAGCCTTCGCCGTCCTCGTAGCCCACCTTGGAGGCTCTTGCACAGTTTCACACCCTTCGTCTGCTGCGGTGCCCACAGCTGCACGCATTGCTCGAGGCGAGGCTGCAGCAGGCCGAGCAGAGCGGGACGATCCCTTCCCTCGGCCGGCCAGCAGTGCCGTGCCTGAGGCACCCCAGGGCACGCTTGGCCCTTTGGGCTGCCACAGACGAGACCTGGCCCCAAAATGGAGCCCTGCAGAGCCCCACTCGTGACTGGCCACCAGCCTAATATCACCCTGTTTAGCAGAACACTCAGAGCCTTACCTGTCAGACAATTGTTGACCCAGCGTATCGTGCATTTGTCTGGGTCTGTGCTGGACATTATTTCCGGCTGGGTATGGTCGGAAACAATGTTTTAATCTTGACTGAAATCCAAAAAATCACCTCGGATGGGTCTTCTTGGCCAACTAGGAGGCTGACCTTGTCATAAAAAGAAACTGAGTTTGGTAAATAGGACTTTCTCCTCACCACTTTCTCCTCACCACGTGTGCTGTGACTGCATTGTCCCTCAGGTGTTTTTCACTCACTCCCAGAGCAATCTCCCTAACTTTACCATCAACTGCTGTGAGAATGACAGCCCTGTAATTCCCAGGGCCTCCTTTGCTGCCCTTCTTGGAAACTGGGGCAATGTTTGGCAGCTTCCAATCACAGGGACCTCTCCAGATTCTCAAGGATATTTCAAAAACAATTTATTTCATAATGACATCAGCCAGTTCTCTTAGTACTTTGGGATGAATCCCGTCAGGCCCTATGGTATCCACCTCTAGGAGCAAATCCCACACTAATTCAGCATTTGCTGAGAGTTTATCATTCCTGCTCTCACGGTCCTCCAGCTCAGGGCACCTGGGGTCCCAGTGCCCATCGTCAGTGTTGAAGACAAAGGCAAAGAAAGCATTAAACATCTCTGTGTTGTCAATGTCCCTGTTTGTGAGGAGACCATCCCCATCAAGTAATGGACCAATGGCTTCTCCGGTCCTATTTTCGCTGTTTAGTTATTTTTTTAAGCCCTTTTTGTTGTCCTCCACAGTTTTGTCCAGCTTCAACTCTAATTGAGCTTTGGCCATTTGAATCTTTCCCCCTAATGACAAGGGCAGCGGATCCGGAGGCATGCCTTAGTTCCTTCAAGAACAGGTCATCCATGTCATCATCCTGGCTGCATGCAGAAGGTCCCTCTGGCCCTTGGAAGCCATTTCCCTGCCCAAGCCCTGCTGCAACAGGGCTTCTCTTGCCAGAGGGCAAATGGTCTGCCCATTTCTTCCTCCTCTGCGATGGGCAGAGCCAGGAGTGGGGCTGGTTCTTTGCCTGCACCACTCTGGGCAAAGGGTGGCAGCACGACGCTCAGCACTGAGGCATGGAAATCAAACTTCACAACTCCTAAAGAGTTATAAAGCAGGTACGTTTATTACAGTACTGGGTGCAAGGGGGATTGCTCCTCCTAGCTTGCACACCAATGGTTACTGCCAGAGTGTTTATATTGATGGGATATATGCATATTCATTTCATTTCCTGCAAGTCTCTTACATATTCATCAGGTCTCCATAAATCATTAGCATAGGTTTCCACCCCTATCTGCATGCACACTAGAGTCCTCAGGCGGTTGTCCAGTGTACTCTGCTGGTCTTTTGATGTAGGACAGAAGTCTTCCTCACTGATAAACTTCTGATCTTTCCTTTCTTTTACAGACGTCAGCAGTCAAGCCAGTTCTTGCTGGCTTCATTATCTATGCATGCAGTCTTTGACTCCCTTATCATTCAGGTTGCCCTCTCCTTGTGGTTAACACACAACTGTGTTAGCTGAGAACTACAGAATCAACATCCTTTGCCTTGTTCCCTGTCTCAATCTTTTAGGGTCATCCTGTCCTCGTACTCCCTATTTCAGTCCTGTCCTTGAGGTTTATATACAACATAATCCCTGGGTTAGCTAAACCCTGCAAAATAGACATGCTTTCCCTTGTTCCCTGTCTCAGCACCCAGCTGCAGCATTTCTCCGCAGCCTTTGATCCCGTTCCACCCTGGTGCCTCTTGCTCCCACCCCCTAAGGGTCATAGCTTATTCCAGAGGGTTATTGCTTCCAGGAACTGGGCAAAGGTTGGGGAAAGTTCGGCGCAGACTTGTGTTTCCTGCAGCTCTACTGGGTGCAGTGAGGGACATCAATCTATCGGTGGGCATCCCTTGGAGAAGAACCCCTGTGGCCCTCCTGCTGTGTCCCCCAGCCCGTGATAAGCGCAGGCTCTGCACCCTGGTGAAGACACTGCTGTCTGTGGCTTCTCATGCCTGGGACCAAGGGGACTCCTTCCCCATCCGCCTGCGGTGCCTGAAGCCCCTCGGTCCCCTCTTTCTTCTGTTCTGACTTCTGCCCACAGCTCCTGCTCCCGCTGCAGCACAGATGAGGCTCCCCTGGGGCTGCAGCCACCCCAGCCTCACCGGCCATGCCAGGGGCCTCCTGACTTCCCTCATCACTCTGCTCCTCCTCCGGCTGGGCTCAGGTAGGATCCTGTGGGGCTGCTGGGGGCTCTCCCTCCTGGGACTGGCAGACGTGCTGCTGTGGGGCAGAGGGGTGGCCGTGGGGCAGGGTGGATCTGAGCCCACTTCTTTCCCTGTCTAGGTTTCACTTTCCCTTTGGTTCTTTCACACAATACGGGTGCTCCCTTGGCTGCCATTTTTGGCTCTTCTTCTCCTGCCCAAAAGCTGCAGAGAGGGCTCCCACTCCCAGCACACCTCCTTCTCCTGCACATCCTCCCTCTCCCTCTCCTGTTGCCCCGGTGGTTTCCCATGGGACACGGGGGACGCAGCATGCACCAACTCACACACAGCTTGCCCTTTGTCACTCACTGCCCTGATAGCAAAATCTCACTGCCTCTCTGTGCCCTTCTCCTTTGCCCAGCCCAGCTCAGAGTGGAGGGACCAGGACACCCTGTCACTGCCACCGTGGGGCAGGATGTCGTGCTGCCCTGCCACTTGTCCCCTCAACGCGATGCTCGCAGCTTGGAGGTCACGTGGATCCGGGATGATTTGTCTGAGACAGTGCACCACTACCACAATGGAGAGGACCTGTACGGGGAGCAGATGCGGGCATATGCCGGGAGGACAGAGCTGGTCAGAGATGGTCTCTCTGCTGGAAGCCTGGACTTGCGAATCACAGGGCTGAGACCCTCTGATGATGGCCAGTACGTCTGCACTGTGAAAAATGCTGATGCTTATGATGAAGCAACGGTGGAGCTGGTGTTGTCAGGTTTGTGGCTGGGGTAATACACTGGGAATTCCAGGGGAGAATTTAAGTTTCTTTTTCCTGTCTCAGTTATTAAACACCATGGAATATGGACATGGAAATGGAGGCAGTATTTGGGAAAAGAGATCCATAGTTGTTAGTTTTCACTGGTGTTTGTGTAGACCATCCCCATGATGGTTTAAGGGCACTGTGCACAGGCTGCTGAGCAGCACCTTCATCTGTGCCTATGATGCTACCAAACACAGTGCCTGGAGCAGGGAAGAGACCTCTGAGCAGCTGGACATATTTGGGTTTTGCTCTTTGTGCTGGGGAAGACCTGAGACATTGTCTGGAAGTCTCGGGGCTTCTTGAACCAGCACAGCTTGGTGCAGAGAAGCTGCCTGGAGGTGCTGAAGCTCAGCACCTGGGTTTCCTGGGTGATTTGGGGCTACTGGGATTGTGCATCCCTGTTTTCTGGTTCCAGCACCAGCCGCGATCTTTTGGGGTGAGGGTGGGTGTGTGGACCTCCCACTCTGAGAGCCCCTGAAGCCATGGCTGGGCAGGGCTGAGTCTGGCATGGGAGCAGATGAGGTCTTTGCCTTCAAATGAATCTCTCCCCAAGTCAAGCCCCAGCCACACGCACTCTTCCCCCAGCCACAGGCACTGACCCCCACCTCTCCCTGGGGGGCTACGAGGCCGGAGGCGTCCGGGTGCGGTGTCGATCGGCCGGCTGGTACCCGCTGCCACAGCTGCTGTGGAGGGATGCTCGCGGGCAGCACCTGCCCTCGGTCTCCCAGACACATTCCCAGGACCAGGAGGGGCTCTTTGAAATCGAAGGCGCCATCATCGTGACCGGGAACGAGGAGGGGCCCTTGTCCTGCGTGGTCAGGAACAGCCGCCTGCAGCAGGAGTGGAAATTTTCCCTGCACATCGCAGGTACAAATGGCACAGCCAGGGTGAGGTGTTCCTGGCCCCTGCACTTGTCCTGAGCTGGGAGAAGTCTGGGTCTTGCTTTTCCACACATGGTCATGGAAATGCAGCCCTTTTCCTGCTGTCTTTTCTCAGCTCCCTTCTTCCACAACGCCCAGCCCTGGATGGTGGCTCTGGCTCTGGTCCTCGTGCTTTTGGCTGTGTCCATTGGCCTCGGTGTTTATCTCTTTCGAAAGCAAGGTAAGCTGGCAGCACAGGGATGGAGCGGAGGGAGGTGTTCTGCAGGGACCCCCTGGGTCTGGAGCAAGGGGCCTTGGGTGGGAGGCCAGGGAGCATGGCTGCAGCGTGGGGCTGGTGGCAAGGCGCAGCCCCCCTGCACATGTTCCCACTCAGCAACCAAGCTGCTCTGCTCACCACCTCTTCCTCCGCCTTTGCTTTTCAGCGGCACAGAGCCGAGAGCTGGGTGAGTCCTTGCAGTCCCTGCCCCCAGCCCCTGGAGAAGTGGTGTCCCTGAGGGAGGCACTGGTCTGGGTGGGCTCCGGGGGCTTGTGTGCTGGTGGCTCGTGGGTGCTGGAGGAGCAGCTGGAGCCTGGGGTGGGAGTGGGGAGTGCTGGGGCTGGGGCTGCCCTGGGCATGGGACACGGCCGGGATGGCTGAAAGGAACAGGGATCAAGGTGGGGATGGGAAGCTAGCTGCGGGGCTACCCCGCTCTGCCGTGACGCTTCTTGGACAGGGACGTCCTCCACCCATTCCCATTCACTTCCACTTGTGTTTTGGTGGCACGGTGCAGAGAGCTGCACAAGTGTCTGTCCTTACTGGTCCACATGCACAAGCCTTGCTGAAACCTCAGTTTTGCTCCATGTTAGTCTTGTCCCACCAAAACTTGGAGGAAGGTGCTCTGTGCACACTCACCTCAGAAAAATAATTAAGGGTCTAGGTAAGGGAGTAGCCATGGAATGTGAAGCACTGCCTTCTGGTCACATATTGACTTTTCTTTCCTTTTCCATTAAAAAAGCTGGACAGTTAGGTAAGTCTGTATTCGTAAACCCAATGTTTCCCCATAAGCAGCAATCAGATGAGAAATTCTCCGTCCTTATCCTCCTTTGCTTTTGCTTTCTTTTCCAGCGGATCAAGCAGCAGATTTGGGTGAGTGTCCATGTGCTTGGGCCCCAGGACAAGGCCAAGGTGATATTTAGGGGAGGGTGGGCAGCTGGGACAGAACACTCCAAGGATTTTCTCTTTCTTTTCCAGATGAATACCGTGCAAAGGCTGGTAAGTCTCCATCAAACTATGAAGGGATTTGAGGTGTCGCAATGCGATTGGAAGCTGTTCCCTCTCACCATGATTTTCTTCTCATTTCTAGCGCACCAATCTGAAAGACTGCGTGAGTCTCTGGCCCCAAACCCAAAGAAAACGAGTTCTTGTCATGTAATGAGAATCTGTACTCTCTCACCAAGTGTTTTTGCTTTTCTTTTGCAGAGGATATAACTGAAGAACTGGGTGAGTGCCCATCCCTCCCCCAAATGAAGGCATTTGGGTAATATCAGTGGGCGTTTTGAGAAGGCAAGATGTCCCTTTCCATCATGCTTCCTTTTGCTTTTGTTTGGCAGAGAGAAAAGATGCAAAGCTCAGTGAGTATGCTGCACCATAACAAAGCAGTTTGGGGTTCAGGCATGGGGCGAGAAGCTCTCCCTACTCATCAGAGATTGCTTTTGCTTCTTTTTCCAGGGGAACAAGCTGCAGAGCTGGGTGAGTGTTCCTGAGCTTGAGCCCAAGGGCAATGTCAAGGCAATGTGCAGGGGAGGGTGGGCAGCTGGGACAGAGCAGCCCAGGGCTGGCCCCTCACCCTGCCCACACCCACTGGGCACCAGCCATGGGCTGTGACCAGCTCTCCCCTCTCCTTCCAGCATGGAGAAGTTTTATGATGTCTCATAATAGAGGTAGGTGTGCATTGGGTTGCCCTTTGCGGTGCTTCCTCTGCCCTTGCTGGGCCATGTTCAGGACCCAAGAGGCGCCCCATCTCCTGCCCCGTGGGGCAGCTCCTGGCCCCGAGCTGGGGAAAGCCTGCCCAGGGCTGAGCTCTGCCCCTGATGGCCTGGCTCCTTCTGTCCCTGCAGTGAAGGTGACCCTGGATCCACGCACGGCTCATCCTCTGCTCGTCCTGTCTCAGGACAAGAGCAGTGTGAGACGGGAAAGTAAATGGCAGCAGCTGCCTGACACACCGGAGAGATTTGACACTAGTTACTGTGTTCTGGGCCGTGAGGAGTTCAGAGAGGGGAGGCACTACTGGGAGGTGGAGGTAGAGGGGGAGAAGGGAATGTATTCAAGTTTGGCTGTGGGGGTGGCCAGGGCATCGGTGAAGAGGAATGGGGAGATCAAGATGAGCCCTAAAGGAGGAATCTGGGCTGTGCAGTACAAGGAGGGGCAGCTCACGTCTCTCACATCTCCTTCCAACCCCTTGTCCCTGTCCCCTGTCCCCACGAGGATCTGGGTCTGTCTTGACTGTACCCAGGGGCAGGTGTCTTTTATAAACCCTGACAATTGGGTCGAGATCTTCACTTTCAGAGAAGTCTTCCTGAAAGGGGAGGGCATGCGCCCCTGGTTCTGGCTGGGGACGAATGCCCAGCTGTGCCTGAGGGACAACACACTGAGACCTGCGGCAGATGGTGGGGAGTACTGACTTCAGGCAGCCCTTTTACTTCGTTTTTGGGAAACCTGCTTCTAACTCCAGTGATTAATTTGGCTTTGAGTGTGAAAGCATGAAGTATATAGCAGGGATTTAGATGTAAAAGAATTAGTAATACTCCTTGTAAATGAATAAATCAACTTCTGAACATGGAAAATCTCAGCGTGTGAATATTTTAAATCATTACTGAAGGAAGCTGCATACCCCCAAAAGAACAGGAATCTTGAAGTGGCAGGGCAGAAAAGTCCAGTGGAAGCTGGATTTGAGCCAGAGTATGGCTACAGTGGGGGACAGCGAAATTGTTCTCGTGGTTGGATGCTCTGGGACCAGGATGCTGCAGGGCTGGGATGCTTTCTGAGTTGGATGCTGTGGGAGGGCTTGGGGAAGGCAGGATGCTGTGGAATCTGTCCCATGAAGGACAGGGAAAAGCACAGGAAAGGACTGGGTCTGTGGGAACCTCGAACAAAGCGGAGTTCGGGGAGCTGTAGTGCTTTGGGCTTTGCCCTGCACAGGGCTTCTGTAGGGACTCTTACAGCCTGAGGGAACTCTTTGTTCCCTCCTCTGGAGAACATCCATGCAAGATGTAGCAGCAAGACTGTGGCAAATGAAGTTTTGCACAGGAAGATAGAGTCTGGCAGTGGCATTTGCTGGGTGCTTTTTGTCCTGAGGCCTTGCTGCCTGGGAAGGTGTCTTGCAGCAGACCGTCTCCTTGGTGTTGGTCTTGTTAGCCAAAGATAGGAGGAATTACAGAAGCACAGAATTTCTAGGTTGGAAGAGACATCTAGATCATTGAGTCCAACCTCTGACCTAACACTAAAAAGTCCTCCACTAAACCATATCACTAAGCTCTACATCTAGATGTCTTTTAAAGACCTCCACTGATGGTGACTCAACCACTTCCCTGGGCAACCCGTTCCAATGCCAAACCTTTTTTTCTGAGAACAAATTTCTCCACATTTCCAGCCTGAACCTCCCCTGGCACAACTTGAGGCCATTCCCTCTTGTTCTATTGCTAGTTATCTGCCCCCAGCTCCCACAGCTTCCCTTCAGGTAGTTTTAGAGAGCCATAAGGTCTCCTCTGAGCTGTCTCCAGACTAAAAGACCCCAGTTCTCTCAGGCGCCCCTTGTTGGAATTGGGTTCCAGACCCTTCACCAGTTTTGTAGCCCTTCTCTGGACACACTGCAGGGTCTTGATGCTCTTCTTGTAATGAGGGGCCCAAAATTGAACACAGTTCTCCAGGTTCAGCCTCTCCAGGGCAATGTAGAGGGGGACAATGACCTCTCTGGTCCTACTGGCCATGCTATGTCTGATACAGGCCAGGATGTCATTGGCATTCTTGGCCACTTGGGCACATTGCTGGCTCATGTTCACGTGAGCGTTGAGCAAAACCCCCAGATCCATTTCATTTGCACAGCTTTCCAGCCAATTTCATAACATCATAGAATAATTGAATATCCCGAGTTGGAAGGGACCCATAAGGATCATCAAGTCCAACTCCTGGCACCACACAGGTCTGCCCAGAAGTTTAGACCCTGTGACTAAGTGCACAGTCCAATCGCTTTTTAAATTCAGGCAGGACTGTTGCAGTGACTGATCCCTGAGGAGCCTGTTCCAGTATGCAACCACTCCCTTCATGAAGAACCTCTTCCTGATGTCCAGCCTAAACTTCCCCTGCTTAACGCCATTCCTGTGGGTCCTATCACTGGTGTTTTCAGAGAACAGGTCACCTGCCTCTCCAAGATCTGGACAGCGGTGTGTTTCCCCAAGCCCTCCGTTTGAGTAGCTATATTGGTGACTGCGGCTGGAGAGGCTGCAAGAGATGCAGAAACCATGGTTTTCTGCCTGATTGATACCATGGCCAGGCACTTTGCAAGCAGGTTACAAGTACTGATGGGAAAGACCGCTGCAAAAGAGTGGTGAGAGCGCCCCACCTGCTCGCCCAGCCTGCGCGAACTGTGTTTGGTAAAATTATGGAGAATATGATTTTTGAAGTTACTTAAATGGACCTGGGGAACAGCGTTGTCATTGTTCCCAGCCAACATGGGTTCATGAGGGGTAGGTCCTGCCTAACAAATTTGGTTTCCTTTTATGATAAAATCACCCATCTAGTTGACCAAGGGAAACCAGCTGATGTGATATTTTTGGATTTCAGCAAGGCTTTTGACACAGTTTCCCAGAGGATCCTACTGGATAAAATGTCCAGCATACAACTAAACAAAAACATCATACAATGGGTGAACAATTGGCTGACGGGCAGGGCTCAAAGGGTTGTGGTAAATGGGGCCACATCAGGCTGGCGGATGGTCACTAGTGGGGTCC